ATACAGAAGCCTGATGATGGCAGATGAGATTCTGCCGAAACGTTGCTGCAACTTTAAAAGCACAACTACAATGACGTGGGAAAATACCCGAACAAAGCCGAATGACATACATACATATATATGGGGGGGTGGGGTTGATTGCTGACTGTTCAGGTTCTGAGGATAACAGTGGATGAATCTGATGAAAGCTCCATGTGCAGCTATTCTGAAAATGGCATACAGATAGTCTTCAACTTATGACCAGAATTGGACCCATTTTTTTTGTTGCTAAGTGAGACATTTGTGAGTTTTGCCCCATTTTACAACCTTTCTTTCCACAGTTCAGTGAATCTGGCGGATTCCTTGTCAGAAGGTTATAGAAGATGATCATATGACCCCAGGACTCTGCCACCATCAAAAATAAGTTAGTTGCCAAGCATATAAATTTTGATCATGCAACCATGGGTATGATGAAATGGTTGTTAACTGTAAAAAATGGTTATGTCACTTTTTTCCGTGCCACTGTAACTTCAATGTAGCTGAAAGGTGAGAAACTCACAACAGACAGAAGAACAATGCCACCACAATACAGGAAGCAGAATTTTGGAATTCATTGCAAGCTGTGTAGTACCACCAATATTGGAAACTGTGCGACTTCTATACCCGTGACAGGAGATTATAAACCACATGGGTTCTCTTATAACCATACCTACTTCAGAACTCCTCATAAAAAAATTATTTGGCAACTACAGGAACAGAACACTGAACTAGGTAAAGCTTTCCTCTGATTCATGATAGCTTAATCAATTTAAACTTTTTCTGCTGAGTAATAATTGTGTGTAAAATATTTCATCAATATTTTAACCAATTATTCTAAAGGAAAGTTGATTAAAAAGTTCTACATGATATTTCATCCCTAGGATGGCACCTGAAAGCTATAGCAAAGAAAAAGTCTATTTAATTATTCATGTACTAACTGCAGCTAGAATTGTATTTGCTCAGAATTGGAAAAGCGAAAAAATTCCCGTAGAGCAATGTTTCTCAAACTCGGCCCCTTTAAGATATGCGGATTTCAACTCCCAGAATTCCCCAGCCAGCCATGCTGGATGGAGAATGCTGGGAGTTGAAGTCCGCATATCTTAAAATTGCTAAGGTTGAGAAATACTGCGGTAGAGGAAAATGTGATTAAGGAAATATTAGAATATGCAGAGATGAATAGATTAATATTGGCAATTAAAGAAAAATAAGAAACTGAATATTATATGGTATGGGATCTATTTTATCAATGGTTGGAAAACAAAGAAATAAGTTAAAATTGAGTAGATGAAATATATAGAGAAATAAGATTGATAAACTATGTTAAGTGACAATGGTTTATAAAGAAAATATGATTACTATATTTTTGGCAAAAAAGTATGTTAATTATAATTACTAGCACAAGATATATGTACCCACTGTTTAAATGAAAGATGGATTTGTTGTAAATACAAAATAAAAAAAATTAATTTAAATGTATGTATGTGTGTGTGTGTGTGTGTGTATGTGTATGTATACACACACACACACACACACACACACACACACACACACACGGCATTCAGCTTTGTTCGGGTATTTTCCCACGTCATTGTAGTTGTGCTTTTAAAGTTGTAGCAACGTTTAGGAAGAATCTCATCTGCCATCATCAGGCTTCTATATAGTGTTCAAGATTCAGTTCAACTATATGGATATACCTTCTTTCATCCTCAATAAACTTCAATTACCATTTGGGATTAAAGAATAGTTTTTAAAACTATGTGCAGAGCAATACTTTTTATACAGAAGGCTCTTTCAGCCAAGTTCCGACCAAGGAGTTTGTCAACATGAAATTGTAGCAAAATAATGACCAATTTTATTCAGTTACCAAAGATGATCTTATTTTCAACTGGTTTTCAACATGTTTTTCATTCCCTGATAATTATTTCTGACAGAAAGACATGTTCACAAATTAAGTGGATTTTCCATTCACAAACTCATTTCTTGCACATAGTGGATGCACATAGGGACTCAATCTAAGAAAAACTGTGGGAATATGAGTATTCATTTGCACACTTAAGGATATGAGAGATACTCTAGTCTAACGGTTAAGGCACCAGGCTAGAACCCAGGAGACTGTGAGCTCTAGTCCCCCTTTAGGCATGAAATCTGGCTGGGTGACTAAGTCACTCTGTTAGCCCATGATGTCAAATTCAAGTGACTGTCAGATTCAGGTGACAAGCTGACCATTCAATCCCTGTAGCAACCAAAACAACTATAAATTGATCTATACTGGGGGTGGGGGTGGACTAGGAAGAAAAAGAGGGAAAAATGCATACTTGGGATGTAGCTTTATTTTTCCTGAGCCTTAATCCAACACTGCCATTCAATGATGGCTCATTTAACATTCCCAGAGGAAGCCCTTTCCAGAATTTCATCTGACTGATTGTCTACTACACAGCTAAGCACAGCTAAGCGTTCAGGGTGAATATCATGACATAAGTGTAGTAGAAACCTGTTTCCAAGGGTGGAGCTCGCAGGTAGGCTCCAATTTAGGAGACAGAGCCGGTAAGAGTCGGTGCATGCTTGGTCAGTGGACTGATTCTTCTGCCTAGAATGACTTGTCTTTAAGCAATAGGATGTGAGCTTCTCCCACCTGCTTCCCAAGGAAATAAACATATTCCCCTCCAGTTTAGCTCAAGGAAAGATGAAAACATGCTTAAAACACTAAAAGCACCACCAACCAGTTTTAAAAAACAGCAAACACACACACATATGCACGCATATAACAAACCAGCTTACACACCACTGGGAAGACAACTTTCACAGGCAAGAAGCACAAAATTATTGAAGCCCCTGGGAAATTAAGCAGCTGGAGATTTCTCTCCCATTAACCAAGAGAAGGCATTCCCAGGACCTATTTTCAAGTGACAGTTTGCAAACCTGGGAGTGGCCCCAACTAGCAAGGAAGGAAGCCATGTTAATCCCTCCCCAATCATAACAAAAGGCTACTCCAGGCTGGGAAGTAAAGGGAAGATCAGAGGAAAGGATTAAGAATCCCAAAAGGGCAGAAAGGACCACTCCACATTAAACCCTGCAGCTCAGGGCCTTTTCCTTTCAAAGTCTTTCAAAACTAGATAATGCAGATTATTCATGTGTGTACATGTCCAAACAGGGACCTTAATCTGCCCGCCTGCATCAGCAGCTGTGAACCAAACTTATTTCATTATTCTCTCAGACCACTCCCTAAACTGCATGGCAGAAAAAAGGAAGGAAAGTGCAATCAAAACCCACAACTACCTACAGCTTTGCAAATGGCTCAAAGAGAACATCACTGAAAGGGGAAAAGTGAAGTGAGGGTGAGGGGGGGAATCAAGAAAATATCACCATTAGCATCGGTTGTTTCTAGAAGATGCAACCACTGGCACTCCTATTAATCAGCCGCCACCCCCTACCCCTCTCTGGCGCTGACAGGAAGTGTTTACAGAAAGCACAGTCACAATATAGCTAGGAACACAGACAGGCAAGCAGGTGGTGGGCCAACCCTCCCGTTCCCGAGCCCCCCCCCCACAAAAAAACCCACCCGATTCTCCAGGGGCAGCAAAAACTCCCAAGCTCTAGAAAAACGCCGAGCCGGTGAACTTCCTCGCAGCCAGATGTGCCGGTCCAACGCCTAATATTAGCGCCTGTGAGGCGGCTGCGGCTGCTAGACCGGGAAACCGCGGGGAGGGGGAAGGAACCCGAGAGCGTGTTGTCACACACCATCCTTGGACACGCCTCGCCCCTTCGCACAGCGTTCCACCCAGGGCTTTTCTTTCAAACCGTAGAGCCGTCCCTGCGTGGAATTGCACTTTTGGCCTTGGGGTTTCACAAGTGGACGATTAACAAGGAGGAGCCCAAAGCTTCAGAATGAAGCCCATCCGCTTGGCAGAACCCCAAGTCACCCTTCCAGCCCCGTTGCCATCGCCCTTAACGTCCCTCGACTGACAATCGGACACACCCCATAATAGCTTGTCTTCTCGCGCACGAGACGGTTCCCCCTGACAGACGCAATCGCCGCGCCTTCGCTTCTTGTACGCCGACGGCCGCCCTCCCACGTTGCTTTTTGGCCGAGGGAAGCGCCACCTCCCCAACCGATCCCCCTCCGATTCTCTCCCACTTAGAAACGAGGGTGGCGGGGATGCTGCTGATATAGCCTAAGGAGAGAGAGTGGGGGGGGGGAGGCTTGGCCTCTACACCCCCACTTCGGAGATTCGGGTTACAACCGCTGCGGCTTCAGCCAAGATCCAGGGAAAGAGAGATTCTACAAAGCGCAACCCGCCTTTTTTTCCTCCCCCATTTTAGCTCATAAAAGCCAAGCGCTGCAACTAACAGCTCCGTCGACACAACTGTCCTCAGGCGCGCCGTGTGAACCACTGCAGGACCTCTGGCTATTACAGCCCGCACCTTGAATATTCCCAAACGGCTGAAAGCTGAACCCGGAGAACGCCCAGCAGGCGCTTCGTGGCCGCCTTCCCGAGGGCTGCTAAGGAATTACTTACACAGGTGAGCCGAATCAACCTTCAAGGAGAACGTGCTCCTGAGCCCAAAAACAGCATTTAAAGAATTGGAGGAGGAAGCTCTACTTACTACTTTTAGTCTGCGAGGTTTTCCTGGCAAAGCTGCCTTTTTCTTAGAGGGTTTTTTTTTAAAAGGAAGCGTGCGAGGAAATGCAAAGTTTGCGCGGTGACTGGAAAGAGAAAAGCGCCTTCGCGAGACTCCGCGCCCCCCCTCCGCAGAAAGACCGGCTGCTCTCTTAGTCAAGGCTCCGTCGGTCCGATGCAGCGACGAACTTTCCACCTAGGCGGCGGAGGAGCCCCGTGTTTGCAGCGCCCTCCCCGCATTGGCACCCAACACTGAGGCACCCGCTCGGGTGCTGCCGTGACGGCAGCTTGGACAATGTGTGCGCGCAAAGCCAGCCCCAGGCAGCGGGCGGCATACGCCCAAACGCCGCTCGCCGCCCACTCGTCGCTCGCAACCTCCCGGAGCAGCCGATAGGCGCTCCCGCTCAACCTTCGGGCTCAGGGCCGCGGCTCCCCCACTCCTCCGACCTCGTGGTCGGCTGCGAGACACGTCAATCACTCCCAGAGCAACCTTCTCCCTCGGCCCCGCCTGCTGCTGTGTTGCTGCCGCTGCTCCGGCCTGGGCTTTCGGAGAGCGGCGAGGGGCCGGAGGAGGAGGAAGAGGAGGGAGGGAGGAAATGGGTGTAGCGAGCTGGGAGAAGGGAATCGCCTCTTGCGTGGCTTATTTTTAGAGTCTGCTGCTTCCTCCAGGCAAATAAAGCAGCCTCCTCCACCGGGATGAGGAGATGCGCGCCCTCCCTTCCTCCCGAGGTAAATATTCCATCCAGGTTTAGTTCTCTTCTGAGCGAGGCCTCCTTCAGCAGCCCTCCCCCCATTTCCTTCCTCTTTTTTTTAGGACCCCTTTTTGTGCGTAGCTTGGCTGTGCCGCTGCGTCCGCTTTTCTGCCGCTAGTGCTCCTACTGTTGGGGCCTTTTTCTCTGTTATCCTTTCCCTGCCTGCACAGAGAAATGCTGGCTGTGAAGTCGGTAGGATGTGGGGAATCCGCGCTCGCCTGCTTGGAAAAGGCGGAAGGGAAGATGAATAGGAAAGCGCACAAAGGAATGGCAGCTTTCCCCAACCTGGCGCTCTCCAGAACTGAAGTACAAATTCCATTATTCCCTCTTACGGCTGTGAGCCGCATTATCCTGGGCAGGCATTAGAGTGCCGGTAGCCATGGTAGAAGATTGTAAATTTGCATCCACTTTACTGTTAGACTAGTAAAAAAACATTGCAAACAATGGTTCTTAAAAAGTTAAATGTTCTCCAAAGTGATGGACATTTTTACATTTATAAACTTTTGGCTTCAAAGATTGACTTGGAATAATGTGATCAAAGATATACTGTAGAATTCGGGTTACTAGGGTAAAAATTATTTTGGAAGATTTTTTGTTGTTCTGATTTAAACTATTATTTAGAATGGTTTATACTGTGCATAAGATGAAGAAAAATATAAATTATCTGCTTTGCAGACTTTATCCAGACTGTACAATATAAGTGAGGAAGCACATCCTGCTGTGAAATCAAATACTGTAAGAACATTGCAAAAAATCAAACAAGATCAAAATAAAATAGCTATAAACAAAATGCTCCTTTAAATCCAACATTTTTCTCTGTTAAGTTTTTATTCATATAAAATATGAGTGCTTAGCATTGTGATATGTCCAAATTTCTACAAAAATGTACATTTATATTTGTATATCACTGTAGTCTACATGGACTTGTATACAGAAAAAACAAAGTAGTCAAAAATGTCAAAATAAAAGCAAATATAGCAATACATTAATACCATTAATCCCTTCAATATTGTTACATGATTGATCTTTAAATTGAACAGCTTTATTTTGATGGCTTTACTGCAATTCAGAAGCACTGTTGCCATCAGTTTTCTGGTAGGAGCCCATTCCATAAGGAAGATGTGTTACAGAAAAACCTACATTACTTGCTCTCGCCTAAATGTCTCATGTAAAAAGGAACCCTCAGTATTATTATCTGGTAGTCCAAATGGGGTGGGTAGGATCCATTGGAAGCAGATGGTCCTGTGGGTACTTAGGAGCCAAACCATGTAGAGCTTTATTCAAACCCACCACTTTGAATGGTATCTGGTATCCCATTGGTTTGCAATGCAGAACCCCCCAACGTTGATATCATGTACTGTATAAGTAATGGTCTCCATCCACAAGCAAGCTACCGCATCTGGAGCCAATGCATCTTTTGAATACTCTTCAAAAGCAGTTCCACATAGAGTGTACTGTAGTAATTAATTGGAAGATGACAAATGTCAGTCAAGATTTCCAGGACTCCAGGAAAGTCCACAGCCAGCACATCACACAATTCTGGGCCAGCCCCCCCCCCCTCCAAAACAACCTCCAACTGTCTTATCTAGCCATGAGTCTAGAAGGGCTCCCAAGTCACAGACCAGCTCCTTCATTGAGAATGCTACCTCATCCAATGTCACCATTGGAGTCAACTGAGACCCAGGTGGCTAGGAGTAGTGAATGAACAGTAGCTCAATCTTGCTGAGATTCAGTCTCAGTTTCTTTCTCTCCATAAAGATATTTACAGTCTCCAGCCACTGGGTTCGAATTCCTAATGTATGTCTGGACTGGGATACAGATGCAGCTCTGAGGCTCTGATCATACCATCACAAACTAATACATGACTTCTTCCATCAGCTTGTATATTCATTAGCAACAGAGAAGAACCTTGTGCCATTCCATTTTGGAGTAATCAATGAGTTTATTTCTCCTCTTCCAGGGACTGAATCTGCCCATTCAGCAAGGAGCAAACCCACTGCAAACAGTGCCTGGACTCCCAATCCTTTGGAATTAAGGCCACATTTCAACCAAAAGTTTACTGGGTGGGGTCTTAAACCATAATGTAGTTTGTTTGATTTGGGCACTACAGGTTACTCTGTTCTGCACACCTAGCCATTTACAGCTTACTCAATAAGTTATGGTTTAAAATAGCATGTAAGCAAAGTCATTCAGAGCCTAGTGGCGAGAGATGCTACACTATATTCGGTGAGCAACACTCAGAGGATGTTCTTTCACATACCCCATCCTGCTGCCCTTTAATCTAACCTTGTCCTAACTCTATCTTTTGAGCAATCAGGCTATCATATAGGAACTCTTCCAGTGCCGTCTGAGAATGAAGTAAGCACATTCTAACAGCTCTAGTATTGTATTAACTGAACAGAAAGGAAAACGATCAGGACAGAAACAAAATGCAAGCTGCTCCAAAGCTGGCCTTTGGCTGATTTGTAGGCATCACAGCAGTCCTGAGAAGGAGGAATAGATTAAAGAAAATGTTCCAGCTGATCTCATATTGCTAAGGCCTAAGCAGCATGCATATTTCAGAGCAGCAATCTGAGGCCACTCACTCTTAATGGGCCGTAAGTGCACATATAGAAATCTAGTTGTTTTTTCTTTAAAAAGTCAGATCTGTACAAAAATAGCCATAGCTTTCATCTTGCTGTAAACCATGCCTGCTAAGTCAATGTATGTGTTTCCTCAACATGCTAAACCACAAGTAAGTAAACCATATGAATTAATACTATGTTTGGAGCATAGTGCCCATTAAAGAAGCAGAATTTCTAGCCAAAGGAGCACTTGGTTATAGGCTAACAGCAAAGATCTTCGCATGAAGAAAACCAGAAGGAGCAGATCTTCCAATCAAATATAAGAGCAAGCTTGTTGTAGCTGAAGGAGCTTGCTATTATATATATTGATTGGAGGGCCTGCTCCTTCTCGATTTCTTCATGTGAAGATCTTTGCTGTTAATCTATAACCTAGTGTTCCTTCAGCTAGAAATTCTGCTTGTTTAATAAAATTCTCCAGTCTCTTTTATGGTCAAATCTGGAACACTGAAAATGATTTCACTTAACAAGTGGTCTGAATATCTGCTACTAATGAGGAGCAAAAATTTGAAGGAAAATAACATACTTCCCTCTATCTCCTCTTGGAAATAGTTTGTCAGTAAAACTTTTCTGGCAATTCTTTACAAGTTGTTTTAAGTAGTTTAAAACTGAGCTATTTCTGGGATCAAACTTGATCATTTTGAGATGTGTGTTTTAGTGAAAAGTAAAGTTCTTCCTTTTATCACCTAACAATATGACACAAGCACTTTGCTATAGCAACCCGGCCCATGAAATAGAATAATGTTGATCATAAAATATTGGTTGCTATGGTGAGTAAAACTGAGATTGGTGGCTTTGCATCATTTAGAAAATGGATTCTTGTCAATAAGAGCCTTTACAAGGATATACCTGAGATAAGGGTCAAGCTAAAAGTCCCACCACTAATAAAAATAAAGTACATAGTTATGTATTATACAAAATTAATCAGATTCAGATGAATGATTCATAATCGGTCTCCCACAAAGAACTGAAACTGAACTCGGAATTATTTATTCTTCCCTCAACTGATAAAACATTAATTGTACCTACCAAATATACACTAGATTTGATAAATCTATTTATTTTGCCTTTTGGTGACCAAGAAAGAAAGAGGAATCATATTGTATATCTGCTGGAATGCATTTGATTCTATATGTAATATTTCTGATATTCAGGTTTAGCTTCTTTTGAAGCTTTTTGTTGCCTACTTTATCCTGCTTTAAAATGTTCACATGACTTAAATTCTTAATATCTAGAACAGGTTTTGCATGTAACCACTTGCAAAGAATTAAGCATTTGATATTACATATTTGCTGTGAAAAATCTAAACCATGTTTTGAGATTTTGATTATCCAATTTCCTGTACATGAAAATGACTTTTTCAATTCAACTGATGATCAGATCACTTCTTTAATAAAACATAAGATACTCATCTGATGATGATGATGATGCCTTGTGATTTACCAGCAATTGTTACTATCTTTTTAAAGAAAACAAAGCATTGTATATAGTTTTCCAGCAATAAATTGTTGAATCATTCCTACTGGCAGCAGGGATTGTGGAACAGCTTATGGCATTGCAAGGAGAATTAACTGAATTATGCTGCTACTGTATAAAGAAACAAGACTGTTTGATTTAAATGTAGTGAGACAAAAATGTATGAAGTTTTTGACTTGGTATCCACATGTACTGGAATGGAATTATGAGTTTCACATAGTATATGAAAGAAATATTATACCTGTTCCTGTGATGATATGTGGGAAACACCTTGGGAGACTGGGATGCTGCCAAAGGAACAGTCAGATAAGAGACAGCAAAATTCATTGCTGAACAGTGGGCAGGGCAAGGGTCTCAGAAAAGACCCTCCCTAGTTTCTTAGGTATAACAATACTGGGATGTATATGTGGTGTACTTGTAGATTCTGATAATGTAGCTTTACAAGTGGAATTAGCTCATCTGGTCATGTTTTCTCTCTGGCCTATCATATCTGAAAAGTTCAGATAATCAAAGGTTAGTTGATGGAATATGGAAATTAACAAGATGCAGAGACTTCCAGGGAATGGCAAACTGAAGAAAGTGACAGAAGGGAGAGCAAGTGAGTAGACCAGCTTTTTGTAATTCCTCTCTAGACAAGGAAAGAACTTGAAATCTCTAGAAAGTGCTCCAGACCAGTGGGGGGATTCAAATTTTTTTATTACTGGTTCAGTGGTCATGGCTTGGTGGGTGTGGCAGGAGGATACTGTAAAATCTCCAGAGGTAATATTTACCCGTTCCCTGAATTACTCAAAATTTCCGCTACCAGTTCTCCAGAACTGGTCAGAACCTGCTGAATACCACCTCTGCTCCAGATAGTCGCTCCATGTGAGGAAACCACAAGATTTGTGGGGTTTAGAGTTCTGGGAAACAAGGGAATAAACCTCTTGCTGAAACTGCAGTTGGCACCTTGAGAAAGGGCACTAGATTTGCATATTTACTTTTCTGGTTACTTCTGGATATTGCTTGTTAATTCATTTTCAGCTATTACGAACCTTTGCATCAATACGTTGTACAGCACCAGGTGAGTTCTACCCTTGCCTTAGGCATGAAAGCCAGTTGTGTGGCCTTGAGCCCAGTTCTCCTCTCTCAACCCAACTTACCTCAAAGATTTATTGCTCTGGGGAAAATAGGAGGAGGAAGGAGTATTACATATATTTGCTGCCTTGAGTTATTTATAAAAATAATAAAGATGGAGTAAAAAAAGTAAATTACATACTTAAGGGCTTAAAACATTTATTTTGGAATAAACAGCACAAGGGTGATTAGAACTTTGATTTTGGAAACTTACAAACTAAGGGTCCACATGGATTGGAAATAAGATTTTAAAATTAATTATAATAATACTTCCTGTAAGTACATGCTTTTGTTTTGAATTCTCTTTAAGATGGGATGGGACTTTTAAAGTTGGATATTACAGGAACAAGGTCTTCAAAGGGAACCAGAAGGAATTAAAGATTACAATTGACTCCACAGAATGGAGAAAAATATTTTTGATATTATTCAAATAAGCTAAAGATTAAGTTTGTTAGACATAAAAGGAAAAATATAAAGTTGGTTTATTTGATCAAGGCTAAAATATATATGTTATTATCTCTGGTAACCTTTAATGGACTTTTCCTGTTCAGGACAATGTGGTTTTAAGAATTTATTTATAGAGATGAGAAGAAGAAATTACAAAATTAATTATACTTATTGTGATGAATGGGGAAATAATTTCTGTATGTGCGTGTTATTTTTTTTCTTTTTCTATTTTTTGATTGTTTTCTGCATTTTCTATTCTTTTTAAATTCCTTTTTTTGTTTATTAGTTTTTATCCTAATTCTAATTTTTAATAAAATTACTATTCAAAAGAAATTAACAGGATGCCATAAAACATAATCTAGGTTTGAAAAGAACCTTAGGTGCTGGTCAAATATTTGCTATCTCTCATCTTTCCTAGCCTAAAGGATATTCTTTAAGGCATAGCAGAATGTATTATCATCAGTATACCTACAACTAGATGGACATTTCAAAGTTCCCTTATGTGAAACAAATTTTCTCTTATGGTTTGGGGATTGAAACCATTACTCATGCACCCCTCTATTGCAAATTCTACCAAGACATAAGGAATTACCTTAAAACACTAACATTAGCATTATCAGTACTATGATTAACTTTTTGTTGCTTTACTTAAACATGTCATGAAATACTGCATCCTTCATTATACACAGAGAAATACACAATACACGAACACACACTCACATGGATCATGGTTATAAAAGGTATAGGTACAAGTAGGTAGATAGCTATGCTACCATTATAATTTTAGCAGCATTTATTTTTCTTGGACTGATGCGTCACCAATACTATAATTTTACCTTAACATAATAGAAAAATTCTCTGTGAACATGAATGTTTTGTTACATTGATCAAATTAAGTCAACATCTGTCAAAGGATTCTCAGTCTAGAATTAAATAAAGTCTGAACATAAGAGTACATTAGTTTTATCCAAAGAAGTGTATCTATGGCATATATTAACAGCATTTATTAGAAGGCACCAAAGATACTTTGGTAGAAAATTCAAATGACAGAAGCCCATTTTGTAGGCTTCCCAATTTGACATTTTCCTGGGGCATAATTATTTTTAGATTGGAAAAACAGTGCTATTCTTAGATTCAAGAGACTTACCTGTTTTTTGAAAAGGTAATTTTATCTGCTAATCAGAAATGACTCAATATATTTTTCGATATCATAGACGTTATATTTTGTAAAGTTAGAAAATCATTTAAAATTCCCCCCTAAGGTAGAACTCTATATGACATATTTAGTTTCCCCCATTTTTGTTCCATCTTTTATTCTTGTTATTTAGTATACATTTTTGTACTTTTTGTATATTTTTTTCTTTTTGCATTTTGTATTTTTTTTCTAAAACTTGTTAAGGTAAATAAAGAAATTGCATTTTTAAAGAGAGTGGCAAATCAACTTCTGCCAAGTATAGAAAGGCTGATCATTTAAAACATTCCTACTCCTTTCATAAAGATGATGCTGGAAGTCTTTTCCATTAGGATGCTCTGTTGGCCAACTCTGTTTCTTTCCTTCCTAAGGATGGCAAAAACTTGCCAATGGCAACCCTCTCATTTTGCCTTGTGATAAAATCTCTGAAAAAAATACTGAATTATTGTTATTTACATAATAGTTTAGTAGACACTTGAAAAGAATATAGGAAGTACTGATCAGTCAATGATCATAAATAAAAATAATGCTATTTAAAATACTGCTAGATCTCAAGAATCCTGATCTAGAATCAGGATTGTTTCTGGTTTTTATACTACCAGTACAAGGAATAAGACTCCACTATCAATCTTAGAAGTTTAATTGGATGTCCTATATATACTAGTAGCTAATTCTATGAGTAGATATTTACGGAGCCAAAATAGCAGCATGTACACACAAAAAGTAACAACAGATTTTGTTATGACCAACCCAAGGCTAGCAAAAAGTGAAAATAAATCCAAAAATAGCTACAGAACATGAAGCATTGAAAATGTGAGGCTATCTCATCTTACTATTTTCAAGTAATCAAGTAGGTATTTAAAGTCTTGCAAAACTGATCTAGTACTCCAACTGCTGAGCATAATTTTTTTTTTGTCTTTCATTGCATCTCAGCAGGGAATATGTTCCACATCATACAACTGCATTGCCTGCTTTGGCATCTCCCTTTTGTACTACCCAATGATAATAATTCTGAGGATAAATGACTCCTTTGGGAAATTGTGCCAGCAAGTTACAGCTGTGTCTTTGATAGCTGCAAGAAAGAGTATGAGAGAGAGAGAGAGAGAGAGAGAAGAAAATTTCACAGTTGTGTTTATAAACATTCTGAAAGAGTTGTACAACATACATCCCAGACCCAGAGGACTCTACTATAGCTTGGAAATAATCCTGATTAATTGGACGAACGGATGGACAGACAGAAATGTATATTATGTAAGAATGTATAAATGTAGATCTGTGTATCTAAGATCTACACATTCATATAAATTTTCTCAATATCTTTAAAAAATAAACATTCAGAAAATTGTGATCAAAGCTGAAAATGGTCTTCCCCTCCAATTGTTTTTCTTTTAAAATCTCCCTCAGGTGTTTTCCAATATTTCACGAAGTGGAAAATTTGAACAAAAAAACTTGCCAGCCAACTCTTCTTGTTTTCCCTCATTCCTACAGCGTAATGCAAAAATAATGAGAATTACTAGTATTTTATATGAAGCTTTTAAAACAATTACATTGTTCTTTTGTTGTAAAACAATAAAATACCGCGAGCCAGAGATGCAGAATAGGAGGAACGTGTGTGATATGGGCCGTGCGAGCTCTCTTTATATAATATGCTTTCAACTGCGGAAAAAGATAACGAGAGGACACCTCTCCCGTCAAACTGACTTTCGGAACAAATACATGAACCGAGATGTTCTTTGGGGACCATTGCAACTACCGCCAACCCCTTGCTTATTTTAAGCCGGTATTGCTTATAGAATACGTCAGAACACACGTGCTAGGTGGCCTTCACACGCAACCAGGAAGACTCCACAAAGAAGGCGGGAAACCGACCGGCCGACTGACAGACACACGGTTCAGTTCTCTTCAGACTCTCGCCTTTCGGCGGACAACGCTCTTACATCGGCGATCGGTGCCTCCCGCAAAACTTGAGAGGCAGCCCCTAGCGCAGAGGCTGGCGCTTGTCTCAGAGGTACGCCACGCCCATCTTCCTTCAGGCTTGGCGATTGGCTTCGGGTGTTCCGGGCTCATGACTATGTAGCAAGTGTATTCAAATCAGGCGGTTGCCAAGGTAACTTGAGGCCTTGCGTACACACGTCTAATCCTTGGAAGAGGCCTGGAAGGGCCGAAAGGACCCAGGACGAGGGAGTCCCCGGGACGCCGGTGGAAGGATTGAGAGGCCTGACAGGCGTGACTCGCTTTCCCTTTTTCTTTTGATGTGCCGTGGTGTCTTTTTAATTCTGCCGGCAGTCGGAAGAAATTAGAAGCAGGTAGGAAAGGGATTCTCCTCCATCATTTTTTTAATTGAATGAGATTTTTCTTTTTTTTTAATTCAAGCCCAGGTGTTATATTTGCTCTTTTTACCGCTTTTTCAATTGATGGGGAAGCGCATTCTATAGCCTCCCGCTGTTTTTAAGTCTCCTTGCAGCGGAATGGGTGACAACCAAACTTAATAAATAAATAAACTTCTCGTTATTATCTGTGTGTTATTCTACGGTGTGTTTTGACTTAGGAAATAATGAATGCCACGGTCAAGTAGCCACCGGTAGTTCCCTTGACTTAAAACTCAAAAGCCCAGAAATATTTATTCGGGAATAACTCTTTTTAAAAAAATGGGATTTATTTTTGAGTCATCTCTACTGCGATTCCAGTTCTCACTGAAAAATCAGCAATGGGATGGACTGCATTTTAAATAAACATGTAGATAAGATGGGTATATATGATCCTTCAAAGCATGGAAGTTACATTTTTTTCAGGAATCTGTACCCTGAACATAAAATGTGCAATGTTGCTAAATGTTTACCTAATGTGAACTGCACAAATAATAGAAAATTGATACCATAGCATATTAGCTAGCATTTATTGACTGTTCTATTAGCTATCATATACTTAATAAATACACGGATATGTAGAAGAGGCTAGTTTTCTCCAATAGAGTAGAAAGGCATGGATTTTCTTTTGATTCTTCAAATTTTGGAAGAAAAACCAAATTGAGTGTTTACAGTTTGCATATTTATCATTGGCTTCTCTTATTTACTTATTTACTTGCAATTGCCTCACTGGTAGTATAGTTTATTTCCTAAGAACCCTGAATATAATATTGAATTGATTTTATAATATGAATGGACTTCAAGAATGGACTTCTATAGGAAATGGCTTATTATTTCTTCCTGATGATTCATGTTCTGGAACTTGTTACCACATTTTAATAAACAGTTGGTCATTTCAATACTGTATTACACTTTCAATACATTGTTTTAATTCCAACTGTGTGGAGTTGTGGACTAAACACTAAATACAGAATTCTAAATAAAATTTCTTGTCAGTAAAATTGTTGGAAATAGGGGTAGCATATTTATTTGATCAGTAATTTTTTTATTACTTTGCCAGATTAAAACACTGTAGAAAGCTGCAGTTGTTTACTTATTACCTATTCATTACTTGCACCTCCCCAATAGTTAAGTCAGCACAATGCAATCTAGGGTTTGCATACCAATAGTTAAACTCTGAACTCTCCTCTTTATAATCAGATTCCTTCAAAATGCAGTACAGTAATTCAGTATCATAAAGATTATTGTCTTTGAACAAGAATAGTAAAACATGGCAAAATCTGAAATCTTGCACTTCAAAAGTAGCTTTGGGCAATCTCAAATCGTATGCCCATATATCCAGCAGTTTGTCCTGCACACAATGAAAACTGATCTTATCTGAAAGAACTGTTTATACAAGTCACAGCATTAACCATGTGCTGCCCATTGTGCACATATAAAAAGTTTTAGGACAAATAAGCAGTCCCATCGGAAAACAAGTTATTGCAACTTTGGACCATCATAAGAAATTGGGAATAAATAAGCACCATCATCCCTCTAAAGCTACTGTGATGTTAACAGATGAAATAGCTGCTAAGAATACTTGATCAGCTCAGAATGTAAGATGAAGATATACATGTACACTTCTTACTCCATGTCATTGGCTAGCCTACCCTGATGAGAAAGTCTTTTCTGACATCAAATGGACAATTTGTTTTTCTGGGTAAGCACCCTTGCAATTAATTTGAGAAAAGATTTATTCATTAAATTTGTAGACTGCCCAACTGTATCTTGACTGGATGCACTTACTGTGTCATCTAATATTTTATCTTTGACTGTGGCTTCTGATACTGTTCAAGAAATAGACAAAACAGTATTTTCATTTATACCCTTCAATCTGTCCTATATAAACTTTGAGGCAGCCCTCAAAAGCTTTTAATTCAAAGATTTCCAAATGTTGTTTCCAAATAGTAATTTTTATGGTGATGTAAGGTAAGTCTTGTTAAATACAGGCAGGGGTGGGATTCAAATTTCTTAACAACTGGTTCTGTGGGCATGGCCTAATTTGTGGTTGTTGCTTGGTAGTCATGTGACTGGGTGAGCATGGCTTGTATGTAAATATTGTAGATATTTATGTAAGTATTGAATGTTTTATTTAAAAAGAGCAAAAGCAGGCAAAGCAGGCAGGCAGATTGAGTTGCTCACAGAATCACAGATTCACTCAGAGATCTACCATTCTGCTATCTGCTACCTGAGTCTGTCACATAAAATTTGCTTGCAAGGAAACTCACAAAATTAACTCACAACACACCGTGTATGTAAATATTGATTTTTTTTTATAAAAAAAGAGCAACTTTTACCCAAAATCGGGCAAAGCAGGCAGGCAGATTGAATTGCTCACAGAATCACAGATTCATTCAGATATCTATCTTTCTGCAATCTGCTGAGTCTGCACTGAAAAATAGAAGCTAGGAAGGTTCAGCTCTGCTTTTAGAGTAGCTAGAAAGCAAAAAATCCAATGATTTCCTGCTTTCTAGCTAATCTAAACCTCCCGGCACGGCTGATAGTCGGAACAGCTGATGGTTGGGGGAAAAAACGGAAAAATAGCAACTTACCAAAAATTAGGCGAAGGCACAACGCAGGCAAGTTGGATGGCACGAATGCCAGATAAGGAGTGAGTGGGCAGGGTGGGGCAGGGCCAGCCAGTGGCACAATTTGTCAGTTCTCCAAACTGTGCAGAATCATAACAACTGGTTCTATAGAAACAGTGTGACCAGGTAGAATCCCACCCCTGAATACAGGTAATCCTTAACTTACAACCACAACTGAGCCCAAAATTTCCTTTGCTTAGCAAGACAGTTAAGTGAGTTTTGCCCCAATTTATGACCTTTCTTGCCATAGTTGTTAAGTGAATCACAGTTATTATGTCAATGACGTCTGACAAGCAAAGTCACTGCAATTGTTAAGTTAGTTAAGTTAGCAACTTCCAACAAGTCAATGGTGAAGCCAGATTCACTTAAGAATGTTTAAGTGAATCTGGCTTACCCATTAACCTTGCTTATCAGAAAGTTGCAGAAGGTGATCGCATGACCCCTGGGACACTGCAACCATCATAAATACATACCAATTACCAAGCATCTGAAGGTTCACATGGCCTCAGAGATGCTGCAATTATTGTAATTATGAGAGTCATAAATCATATTTTTGTGTGCCACTGTAACTACAAACGGTTACTAAACGAACGGTTATAAATTTATGACTACGTGCATATAACTGATATATTTGTTCATTAAAAATAAATTTAATTTTTCAATTGTAAATGAAATGCGGTACAGATTAGATTTTGCCATAAACGCATCTGCAATATTATTTTTGCCCACTGTTACATTTCTTCTAAGGAATTACAGATTATATGCATTGCTTTTCTAACCCAGCATTTTGCATAAAATCCTTGCAACAATCCTATGCATTAAAATAGGTAGAGGTAAATATTTAGCACAAGGTCATCAATAAAATTCATAGCTGAAATGAATATTTAAAGTTAGATATAACTTCCCATTTAAATTGTACAGTTTTGGGTGGTGAACACAGGTGGTATTCAGCAGGTTCTGACCAGTTCTGGAGAACTGGTAGCAGAAATTTTTGAGTAGTTTGGAGAACCAGCAAATACCACCTCTGACTGGCCTTGCCCCCATCTATTCTCTACCTCCCAGGTCTCAGCTGACCGGCTGGGTTTTCTTTTGTTCCCCTGCACAGGAAAATAGAGCTGGAAAGCAGGTTAGTGGGATGGGGAGGGAATGGAGATTTTACAGTATCTTCCTCTGCCACAACCACTAAGTCACGCTACACCCACCAAGCCACATCACATCCACCAAGCCATGCCCACAGAACTGATAGTAAAAAATTTGAATCCCACCACTGGTGGTGAAGAGAAGGTACAATTAGAAATCAGCAAATTGCCAAGTATTTTTCAGTCAAGTGCTGTATTCTGCACCTGCCCAAATCCATTATTTTTTTTTAACCTTTCCTACTTTTATGAGAAAAAATAAGAAGATTGAACTCTGAAATATGCTAAGTATAACTTCTACATTGTACCCCTAAGGTATTTGAGAACCTAGGTAATAACATTCATTGTGAATAGAAGCTAGAACTATTGGTCACAAAATAGCACCTTCTCTCTTCTCCACATCTTGAAATGTTCTTCTGTGGAAAAACTGCCTTTGACTTCAAAAACTAAAATCATATTCAAGTCAATTTAAAAAATTAAATTCATTAATATTTACCAATAAAACCTAGCCATTTACTGAAGAAAGAAACAAGCATCAAAAGCAAAATACAAATGAAGCAAACAAACAGAAGCTGTTAAAAATCTTTCTGCCATCAGCAATGTTAAAAAAGATGACTCATAACTAGATCAGTTTCCATTTGCTGTAAAAAGTCAAGGAAGTGGCTTTTGCTTGGAATAAGTTCCTTTAAGAAACAATTCTATAATTGATTCACATTAATTCCATCTGAGTTAAAGGCAACGCAGAACAAAGATTTTCAAGTGGATCTGGGAGCAGAAGATAAAATGTTCCATAAGGTATGTGGGATGTATGTCCTTTGATTGAAATACCAATTGAGTTTTAGAACTTAATAATGATAGATACAGATGAGCTTAACTTGTTATTTTAAAGATTCCATCTCTTCACTGGAAATTATAAATAGAATTCTATATCTACAAAATACCTATAAAGTATCTAGGCCTATGTAAAACATACTGCAATAACATTTTGAATATGTTTGAATATAATATTTGTATATTTACCCTATATGCTTCTACATTAAGTAATTATCCTTCAATTTTCCCTTTACTTACCCAGGAGAACTTCAGTGCCATTTCAAGAAGATAAATAGAAGATAAATAGCTCAAATTTGTATACTGCAAGTGGAGTTGCTGTTGGAAACAGACATGGTGGATGGCATGACAAGTAAATAGTGATACAATAGCAATTTTAAAGATACAAAAATGTAGCATAAAAATGTATAAAGCACTTTTGTGGGGGTAACTTGGAGAAAGGCCTCCAAAGAAGGCCAGATGCCTAGGTGGTCTGTATGGAATTTTTCATGTTTGATAGCCATGATCTGACTTGTTTAGCATTTTGACAGAGGAATCAATGACAAACAGTGGTGATGATATTGAGCCTCCTTAAAAGATTCCTCTCTTGATATCAACCTTTCCCATTCTATTACCATTGACCAGCAACTTGCATCTTCTATTGTGCAGATGATCGTTGCACAAAACTTCTGATGTTTCTACTGATTCCTGTTATTTATAGTCACTTGGTTATCATGTGGGAGGGAGTTGAATGCCTTTTTATAATTAATCTAAACTACATTCAACGTGGTCTTCCTTCTCTTGCAGTTTTCCAAAATTATCTTGTCAATTAGCTGATTTTTTTCTTCATTGGGTTCCTGTGCTGTTGGACAGTTCCTTTCTACTCAGGTGGAAAGAGCTTGTTTTCAACTAGATGCTCTTAGACTGCATCAGCTACCACACTAGTTAGCAATTTGAAAGTTGTAAGTAAGCATATAATTGGCCCGTAGTTGCCTGGTGCTGCCCTTTTGTTGGATTTTATATTATCAAGTAGGTTTTACCAGATGTTAAATCAATTTAAAAATTTACCCCCTTGCAATATATTGTTAAATTACTTGGCAATGCACTGGTATAGACCAGTTAGATGTTTTGACCAAAAAACATGCAGCTCATCTTCATCTGGTTCTGACCAATTCTTGATCTTACTTGCCCTTTTTTCTGCAATTTCTGCTGCTGCTATTAGTCCTTTCATTTCAGCTTTTTAAATTTTTATTTACATCATTTATCCAAGCTGCATTCCTGATATATATTTTTTGTGTTACCCCATACCTCTGTGCATAATTGCACTGTTTCTTCTTTGTCAGGTGTTGACTGGTTCACTGCAGTCACTCCATTGATGGACTGGTAGAAATAACTGTGGTTCAACTGAAATTGGAAATTCTGCCTATAATATGCAATTCAAGATTTTTATCTGATCTTCTTAGCTGCAGATGTTATTTCCAGTGCTTCCTTAATCTTGGCTGTTTCCTATGTATTGATTGTGTATTATTTGGTCTTCTTGTTCTTTAGTTTCTTTTCTTTCATTTGTTTTACCTTGCTTGTATCTAATCTTGGCTTGCAGATCTTATTTTCAGCCTGATTTTTCATTTTGGTGGTGACCATTTGGCTGTTTTTCTCTTTTGTTGATTTTGCATCCCAGGTATTTTGTTATAACTGCAGCTGTGTTCTACATTAGTTGGTTTCTTGTAGTAAGCTGGTGGTTATATTTGATATTACAGTTTTGGCATCTTTTAATATTTGTGCTAGCTGTTTCTTTGGAACAAGCTGAAATTTGGGCAACTTTATTCTGTTATCTTTGTGCTTTTTCTGGATGCTCGGTTATTCTTTGTTTCAGTTCATTTTCTATTTTTAGTTAGAGGGCTTTGCTCTTTCTGAGGAGAAGGCAGAGAAGAAGGTGTTTGGTTTGGGAATGAATATGATTCAGTAGTGATGCTGGCTTCTACTGCTGATTCCACCAGCTTGCTTTTACGGTCTGAATATTTCTAGCAAGACTTCTGGTTTTGATTTTTTGCCTGGATAAATCTTTGTAGTACTTCCAGTTCTGCTTCTGTAAATACTTTATTTCATATTATAAAATAAGCATTGATCTTGTAGCCTCTGATCTGTTATTTTTGATTATGGATGCTGTTCTTTTCAGAACTGGTGAGTTCTTTTCAGATACCTTCTTCTTAATGGCCTTGTTTAGTAATAACACATAATTACCTTTTTTGTTTTCAATCTTTGTACACTTTGATGGGTAAACAATTTTAATTCCAATAGTTTTGCAGCTACTGGCTTTGGTTCCTTAGCTAACAAGCCTGAGTCCTGTAGCCCATTTACTACCAAATGTTCAGGAGTTTCAGCCCCTAGCATGGTCCTTGTTGATCTGGGCAATAATCAATGTAGTATGGGCTTTGATAAATTATGTCTCACCTTATTGTTTATGGGAGAGGCACTCTTTGTCTGACGCCTCTGATGAAACCTGTCCTTTATAGTGAAACCTCTGGCATTGTTCTCATCTTCCTCAAAGAACACAAGCCCTTCATTGGAGGTTATTTTTATTATTATTTGAATATTATTTTTATAAATATTTAAATATTTTAAATTTATTTCATTTTCTAAATTACTTGGTGAAACTCTCCCTCCAACTTTATTATTATTTATTACGCAGTTTAATGCATAGTCATTTAATGTGTTGTTTACTATTTTTAATAGGACTTATTTCCAGGGACATGGACATACCATCACAGATGCAAAGTTGCAATAACAAAGAAGTGGCTATTACTACATTATCTCAGTAGACCAATGAATATGCAGTAGTTTGAAAGTTTGATCCTTCTGATTCATTGTATGATTTTTCTGTATTTTTCTCCTTTACTTGATAGTTCTGCATGAACACAAAAATATAAAATCAAGGGAACATAGTGTAACTATCCAGTTTGACCTGTCTGTAGTCTTCAATAATGAAAAACAAATGTGAAAATTATTTGAAATGTGTTCACTAGTTTATTTGGCAGGAATTCCTTGACACAATTAAGAATACAGCAGATACCTCCAACTGCTTATGGTGGTTAGTACAGAAGGTTTGCTTGTACCCTTGTTCTAAGAGAATTGTGAGGAAATTCTTTTTTCTTTTCTTTTTTTGCTATTTTCTCTTCAGCAACCGGTGTAAAATATTTAGCTCCAATCCTAGAAGAAGAGGGGATTGATCTGCCTCGTAGAAAATTTATTTTGTGCCTGCCTTTAATGATAGACTCTCCTTATGGATACCGAGATTAGCTTAGGCAGCTGCTGAAAGCCATGATAAATTGGGTTAATGCAAATAGCCATGTACAGTATTACTTTTTTTGTATAGTGGATTGGGTCTATCATTCGTTGCTTTTATCTCTCTGGCCTTCGTAGAATACAGCTTTCTTCTGTTTATACTAAGAGATGGAGAAAGACTCAGGGACGAACATACACTCTTTTCACCATGCAATTTTTCTAGAGTGATAATTGTTCTTTTCTATTTGTGTCAGCTGAAGGTATAGTTCCCCACTTTATCTGAAAGAAAGAGACCATAATCAAAGATTATTGATTATCTGAAGTCGATTGATACGTTTAATTGACAAATAAGTACTGCTTTAAAAATAGCTTTTTATATAAAAGTACATTTAATGAAAACTCAATACTGTAATTTAAAAAATTTAACTGACCTTTATAAAATTCATAAACAAATATTATGTTATGGTCCAGGAAGTAAAACGAATTGTTTACTGAAGTTTACAATGAAAGCTATATCTCTGGGCTCTTAGCTTTTAGTTTGTGTACAAGCAAGTCTTATATAACAAGATCAGGTTTTGTGTGATGTAACTAATACATGAACGTAGAGAAGAATGATTTTTCCATTAGGAACTAATTGACATAACAGTAGTATGACATAATAATAAATCTTGTTTTCTGAAAGATAGGGCACTTTTACAGACTAAAGCTAAAATGGTATTCATAGTTAAGGACGTTCAGAAGAATGCACTATATATTTTCCTTCAAACTAACTTCTCTAATCAACAAATATTATAACTGCATTCCATACTTATATTTGATCACATTTTTAACTAGTAGAATCTCAGTATGTTTGATAGATATATTCCTTGTAAAACTCTGTCTTGATTGTTCAAGCATTCAGTACTTACAAGTTAATCATAACAGTAATTCTATGTGGAATTATTTTTGAGGACAGCCTGAAAACTCCCATTGATTTGAAATGCTGTGATACAGTAATGCTTGGGTCCATAGAATACTCATATCTTGGCTTTGTCACCTTTGGCTGGCTGGATTGTCAGACAAGATATTGGCACATTGTATGGCACCTAAATAATGGAATTGCCTTCCAAGACAGGAGGATTGTCAGACAAGCTATTGGCACATTGTATGGCACCTAAATAATGGAATTGCCTTCCAAGACAGGAGGGCAAAGCTTTATTTGCCTCTTTTTAAGTTAGCACAAGAATAATTACTTTTGTTGTCAACTTTTACCCTGAAATATTTGTATCGTTCATCTGCTTTTGCAGCCTTTTCTTTGAGATGTGGGACATAAGAGTCTAAATAAAAAATAATAATTATAGAACAAATCAAACAGCTGTTTCTGGGTCAGAAATAAGAGCCTAGAAGCAAAAATGTAAAATTGTAATATCTGAAACATTTTCAAAACTTTGCAGAAAAAATATTGAGTATCTTCAGTGATTGGCACTTTGCATCAATACTGTACTAGTTTACAGTTCAAGTATTTCTATTAAAAAGAGTTGTGCATTATTGCCACTACATTGTTACATTGTAGGGTTCTGCTGTCATGTTATGTTCTGTAATAAAGTATACTTCTTGTTATCAAGAGGATTGGATCACCAAGTTATCCTAATTTTTAATTTTTTACCAAGTTTTATAATTGTGTTGTTCCCGTAAGTTAAATATTGGAAAGTAGTTAGTGGGTGTGGTACTTAATGCAGCTGTTAAATATTAGCAAATACTAGCTTGGATTGTCTTTCAGTTCACTGGTAACTTTGTAATACAGCACATTTTATTTATGTTGTATACATATGAAACAAAATGGATTCCACAAAATTATATATTATTGCATTTTTCCTCTTCTCATTGTATTACACTGAAACTTTTCTAGATCTAAGTGTCTTATCTATCATGAATGAGAATGACATATTTCACAATTGATCATTTCTGTGTTTATGATGTAAGATGTCATAAACCTCATCTAAGATGCAACCTGAAAAGGGGTTTAATAGAAGTATAACATGTTGGATCATCTACCATTTCTGCAGTTTCTGTTGACCAAGATAGAAAGATGAAGCTTTTTTTTTTTAGCTTAACAGAATTTTGCTCATTAGAATTCATCCTCTCCTACACCCACAGAAATCTGATGAACAAGCAGAAATCTCTACTCCAATTGTACTTGGAGGGTAGTGTTAGAGAATCAGAACAGTATAATTACTCTTTGAAGTAGATTAAAGCTTGAATGGTATTTTATTTCCTTTATTCAGTGTAACAGAAAATTCTTACAAATTTGGTTAGTTTTTATGATATGGTATTTTATTTAATTTCATGACCATTGATTTTATGAATAACATATAATTTGTTAAGAGTATAATCTGCCCAGTATCATTGAAACTTGGGCAACATATAACTTTAATTATTAATAATTAATTTTACTCTGTCAATTTAGGGTTAAAAATCAAATTAATTTTGTTTCCATGTTTAAATATCAGATACACTTTCCTAATTTGAAGTATGGTTGTATCAGTATGGATATATGACATTTGTTTAAATTGACTGTTTGGCTACTCTTTGGTCAGTCACCCATCTTAACTAAAACACACACAGAAACACAAAAACATTTAATATTTTTATTAAAAATTAATTCAAAAAAGATCGAGGCATCTTACAACCACTTGCTCACCAAAGCAAGACATCTATACAAGGCTGCATTAATGTTTCAGCCTCAGCTTCTGAAGGGAAATCAACAGAATTTGAGCCATCCAAATCTCAGGATAGAGATTCTTGCCCAGGGCACACATGACAGAGGAGGCACACCTCCTTGGTCACATTAGATGCAATGTTTTGCAAAAAGTATTGCAAAAGGTGAAGCATGCCCATCTTACCAAATCTAGGGAGGGAAGCAAAAATTACTGAAGGCAGGTGATCCTGCAAATAACCTGGTCTTATGCCTTGTACTGTAGAACTTTAAAAGTGATACTTTCTTGAAACCAGCGCTATTCTTATAACATGAATATGAGAATATCCTATACTTATAATGGTAGCGTTTATGCCCTAAACTACATTCATTGCTATATTATGGACTAATGAAACTTTTAAATGCTTTAGGGGCAATTCCATATACACTGGATTAGTGCAATCAGAGAATAACTTAAAGACATGAGTGATCATGAGCAGTGCCTCCTAATCCAATAAAAAGCCTACCTGTACACGAGATGAATTTGTGGGGGGGGGACTTTTTACCATACTACCCATCTGCTCATGCATAAGATCAGAAGAACCCCCAAGTTGCAAACCAACTCTGTCTGAGGGAGTACAACCCTGCCCAGAATTAATAATTTTTAAAAATAGAGAATTTGTAGATCTAGATCAAGGGTCGCCAACCTTTTGGACCTCAGGGACCACCAAACTGATAATTTTAAATCCCAGGGACCACTGACCGGTTTTGTGGGCATGGCCTAATTTGTGGGTATAGCTTGGTGGTCATGTGACTGGCTGGGCATGGCTTGTATGTAAATATTATTAATATTTATATAAATATTGAATTTTTTTATTAAAAAGGAGCAACTTTTACCCAAAATCAGGCAAAGCAGGCAGGCAGACTGAGTTGCTCACAGAATCATTCAGTGATCTATCTATTTGCCATCGGCTAGCTCAGTCTGTCAAATAAAACTTGCTTGTAGTGAGTCTGTACTGAATAATAGAAACTTCAGTCCTAAGGGAGGTTTGGTTGTGCTTAAAAGCAGAGCCAGAGATCTAAAGACCAGCTAGAAAGCAAGAAATCCAACTGTTTCCCGTTTCCTAGCTAATCTAAATCTCCCAGCACAGCAGAACAGCTGATGGTCGGAAAAATAGCAATTTAGCAGGCAAGTTTGCTGGGTAAGGAATGAGTGGGCGGGGAGGGTTCCCACAGGCCGTGTGGGCAGCGCAGCCTTGTGTTTCTGCGCAGCCTGGATTAATTGTTTTGGGGGGGTGTTCTCTGGGGATGAGATTTCTCTGCGGCCCACCAAAATTTTCTCATGGCCCAGCAGTTGCCAATCGCTGATCTAGATGGCCCTAAAACTACAGGCACTCAGACTTATTGGGTTAAGCTGAAGTCTGCTCTTTCTTCACCAGATCTTCAAAACCTTCAGGCAATGTAAGTATGCTGATGATATCCAGTTATACCTCTTTCTCCCCCAGGCTATTCAAATGATGCCCTTTAAGTTGAGAAAGATCTTAAAGGGCATTGAAGGGTATAACTGGATATCATCCTCATACTTACATTCCTTATCCTGTATCAATGAATGACCTTACCTAGCAGCTTTATATTCAAACTAGGAAAACTGGAGAAGTGAACCCTGAAAAAGAAAAAGTTGGCAATAGGATGAAAATTGCCAGCGTGGTGGCAAACCACCAATAGGTGGTTTTTAAGAAGATATTTTAGGTATTTATGTTAAAAGTTTCGGATACTCTTCTAATCATATAAATCTTTTGCCCTTAAGGGCTTTGGATATTTAACATCTTAGCCAGCATGAAGAGATACAAAAGATTATCTGGAATTTCCTGACATTCAAATCACTGGACAGTAAGAATTAGACTGATTCATACCCAGTATTGATTATTAATTTTTTGAATGTCAATCGATTTAACAGACTTCCTCTGTTAAAGTTATATTGCTTAGCTGATTTATTTGAATTCCAATATAATCAAAAGGCATTGATTTGTTACAGTGATATCCCATTTTTTGTCTAAGAATGCAGGCGGTGGACATAAGAATTCCCCTTTAATTTTATCTCTTATATTACCCTCAACAATTTTATGACATAGGTTATGCCAGTTACTATGTTCCATCCAGAAACTGAATAGGGATTTGAATCTGAATTCCTGTCCAACATCTTAACTATTTGGTTATATCTGTTCATTAAAAACAGAGATATAATATCAAATATAAACAGTTTGCACAACCTTTTTCATGATTGTTAGTTTTATATATATAACCTATATGCATATAAATCTAAGCTTATCATTCTGATTAGTAAAGGTTTTATATTTTTTCAATCTTCATACATTTTTAGGATAATTCTACATTATTTTATCTTATGATGCATGAAATAAATACAGGATTCAAATAATTAGCTTGCATTTGTGTGTTTTAACATTTAGGGCATTCTGAAATGAAGCTAAACTGGAAACTAGATAGAACTTCAAGACCAGGTTCAGCAACAGTTAAGGTTACAGATCTCAGCTGGCAAGGTCTCCTGAACCCCAGTCCATCTATTAAAGAAGATGAAGAGCTACTTGTGGATGAATATATTTCTCCCCACAAGCTGGTGAGTATATGCTATGTTATTGTATATACGTATATTAGCCTTGCTAATGACCATTGCAGTACTTTGGCGTACCTGAAAGTATTGCAGTTAGATGGAGCCATTGAATATGGTTCCGAATAATTCTTTTTTTTTCATAACTTCATACATTTGTTCAGACTGAGTGATTGGAAATCACGAGGCCTATTTTATATTACACTAATTTCTATTTAGTTATTGAAGACTCAAATTAGGGGATATTTTAATATAATTAAATTTGTAAGTATGATACAACAATGATTTATGTTTATGATTTTGTTTACCATGCTAGTAGGATTAACCTATCTTAAAATAACTGATCTGGAATATCTGAGTAGTTGTATTAGTTACTCTTTTAAAATGCTTTGTACTCCTTAATGGCTTTTAAGAAATAATTTCATGTTCACCTTATGTTCTGTTGCTAATTTGAAGTATTGTCCTCATCCACCTGTGTTTAAGTAAGAACACTCTAGAATACTGAGCAAGATCTAATTTAATCTCTGCCCACAGAACCATTCCCTGTGTAGTTCTATGCAGCTCATACTTCCTTGTAAGTTAGCAAGGCGAGGTGATCTTTTTCTTTGTCAGATTCCAGTGCTATAAAGTTCTGGAGTATCCTCAGTCTCCAGAACACGTTTTAGGATGATGTTGAGGATCACAGAATGAACAGAAATGGATAATTAATGTTTCCTCCACCCACTTCAGCCAACAAACTCTTTTTGGTCACAACATTTTCACTAGCAACAAGCTTTTTCTGGATCCCAGCAACTGTTTTCTCAGTAGGATTCTTGTGCTCTGTGAGCTTGGTTGTTTTCTTGCAGATCATCCCAAAGGTGCTTTTTAAAGAAGCAACTGGACTTTCTGATTTTTCTTTGAAGACATTCCACTTCTCATCCAAGAAGCTTCTTCAGCTCTAGATAGATTCTTGCTTTTTGGATAGGAAGCAAAACATCTTCAAAGACAAATCAGAAAGTCCAGTTGCTTCTTGAAAAAAGCACCTTTGGGATAACCATGACCCGGATGACTGAGAATCTCCATAGATACTTTTCTTGCAGATATTTCATCACCCAACTAGGTAACATCATCAGTGCTAGAAGGGGTGATGTCTTCTCTCTGTTTATATACAAGTGGGAGTTATAATGTTGGTGGATCTATTCTTGGTAGTTCCTTGATTGGGCTGTTGTTTACTGTTCATTTTTTGTCTGAGTTGGTAGTTCTTTAATTGGGATATTGTTTATTGCTTGATTGTTGGCACGGTAGTTAATTCTTGTGTCAGTTTTTGCCTATCTGGGTATTGATTGCTGAAGAGGAGGTATTTTGGTCTTTTTGTTTCTTTTGTTGGTTTTTTGATTGGCTCTTTTGAATGATATGTAGATATTGTTTATCTCTATGTCCCAGTTGATGGCTGATTGTTTGAGTGCTAAGCTTCCAGGAATTTTCTAGTGTTTTTGGACTTAGCTTGGTCTAGGATGCTCACAGTTTCCCAGTTGAAATTATGATTAACTCAGTTCATGTGTTGTGTGATTAGGGAGTTTTCATCCTGTCTTCTAAAGTCCTAGTTGGTATTCATGGATGCCTTCTGCTAGAGTTCTGCCTGTTTGTCCTACATAATAGTTGTTACAGTTCTTACATTATATATTGTACCAGACTCCTATTTTTTCTTCTGAGGATCCTGGGTCTTTTGCGTAACTTAAGATATTTTGGAGGGATTTAGTTGTTTTGGGTGCTATAGAAATGCCATGTGGCTATTACAGACTGTTGGTTATTTCTGAGATGATTTTGATATATGGTAATGTTATCCTTTTCATAGCTTGTGTTGTTTGTGTTGTAGTGAATTAAGTGTTCATGCATTTTTTGATAAAGTTGTGTGGGTATCCATTTTATTGGAAGGTGTTATATAGATATTCTATTTGCTTTTTGTGAGGTTCAGAGTTTCTACAATGTGTTTGAGTTCGTTTAGTGTTCTTTCAGAACTTGTGGGCAATCTTCTCTGTTCAGCAAATTTATAAACATTCACATTCTTTTAATATTTAAATGTTTTATGTTGGTAAAACAATAGTGCTGCATTCTCTTTGAAGAGAATGAGGCTAAAGTTCATCATGATTTTTTTTTATTCTATTGTATCATGCATTTTTTTTATTTGGTTAACAAATTAAAGTCTGAAAAAGCCTAAGATGCAGTTCATGTCCTTGGCAGTAGGGTACTTAGTTGATAGCTTGTATTTTGTTGTGAATCAGGCAGCAACAAGCCAGTGTGTAGTTTTCTCTGTAGGAAAGAAGTTTGAGAAATCCTTTGCCTTCTTTTTTAAGTCACTTAATTGGGAAAATTCTCTTTATTTTGAAAAAATGAAGTTTGATACAGATGAAAACTTTTTCCTCTTTGTTGATGAAAAGTGAATAAACTTGTTGCTTAGGAAGCCAAAAGAAATGCAGGTGAGAAAAATGCTAAAATAAATGAAATTATATAGTCAACATCTTTGTTAAACTGGCGGTCTTTTTATGCTATTCCAATTACTAAAGCAAATATGTTTAACATAAATTTCTGGTTTTAAAAACTGCAATTTAAGGGATCCAGAATGTAGGGAATGTTGTTGAGAATTTCCATTACATTCTGCCTCCTATGCCCATAACTACTGCAATTATTTACTGAGTTGTGTTCTAAATCAAATGCCAGATGTCATGCATGTAACCTTCCAACTTCACTCACCTAGCTGCATTGTTCTGCCACTGTTTCCTTCTGCTTTCATATCTTTTCTTGTATTTTTTGGAACGAAAACAATGCCATTGCGAACCAAATGCTCACTATTCACACCGTCCATTAACAGTAGTTAAATTTGGACATCAGTGATTAGGTGAGCAGTTCTAAGAGCTCTGTGAAAATACTGTTTTCAAAATAATTTTGAAAATTAATAACAATATGTGTCCTATATATGCCCTAAAAATGTAGCCCCTGTCTTCCAAAAAGATTTCTTACCCATGCTCTTATTTAAATGGAATAGTAAGGCATCATACATTGACGGAGTCCAGGACCCATCATATCAGCATAGCAAATGGTCAGGAACAACAAAATATGACATTGTTAGGATTTCCATCTATTCACTCTTATAGTTTCTTGTATTCCATGAAAATCAGTCATGGCATTTTTTCATCATCTAATGATACATTATTTTATTTGTTAAATGTAGAGCATATCCTGTCTTTTCTTTCAGAGCTCAAGTTAGCATATCTCCTCACTAATTGTTTTCTTACAATAGTAATCCTATGAAGGGGTTGTGCTGAAATTGACTAGCACAAAATAGCTAAGTGAGCATCTATTGCTGATGGCATTTAATTTATTAGTACAAATTATGCCTTTAAATATAATGATAATATTAGTATTTTTTTTCTATAACTAACCTGCAATAATTTTTTTCCATTTTTTTAAAATTTGTACTATATAAAGAAAAAGCAATTATTTCAATGTCTATGTCTTCTGGTTACAGTTACTTTGAGTAATAGTGATCATCATCATCATCATCATGTTCATTAGTAGTAATCAAAACAGTATTTTCTCCATATAATATTAATTATTAATACTAAATCATATTGATAATAAACATATAATAAACCCTCACGGTAAAATTAATCCTTCACTTATAATTTTAAATATTCTAACTTCTGTTACTAACATGCAATATTTGAATTAGTGAATTAGTGATTTCACTATATTTTATACTTCCCTTCTGTCCTTTTTCTCCCTCCCTCAATGAAAAATATTAAAGTTTTTCTGCTAGTATCATTTGCCTGGCTTGTTGTTGGAAGCTTGGGTATATACTGTTAACTGGGCTCTGCAATCATCAGTAAGGAAAAACAACATTTTTATTGGCAAGCTATATCCTTTTTTTAAAAGACTTATTTTTGGGTAATCAAAGTAAATGAATTTGACAGGGAGGCCACAGGCAGACTGAACAAGTACAAAAATAGGTAATTGGTGAAGCTTTCTGGAAAAAAAGAAGAGCGCTATTTAGCTCAGCATATGCAATCCATAAGTCACAATTAGGCAGCATGGCAGCAGTGCAACTGTGATTTTAATTGCACAGTGATGGAAAATTGTAAGAAATTAAGGACAGATTATTCAGTAATAGAAGAAGGCCATGTGCTATAAGATAAATAGTTGGGCGCCAGTAACACAAAAGCAATTTAGAAATAAAGCTTAATGTTATCAAATTGATTGATTGTTGCTGAACACTGAAGTGAGAATGTTGGATGCTGGAAACAAGTTTTAACTGGAATGTAACACAGAGCTGGATCATGTTGGTTGATTTGAACCCAAATCATTAAGACCAATGCAGGGAGATTGCTGGCCTCTGGAACTAGATTTCATTTTAGGAGTTGTGGCATACTCTGAGTATGCTGACAATAGGATGCTCTCTAGGTAAAATATATTAGTCATGCTAGTGATCAAAAAGCATTATATACTTTTTCTGCTTCATTCTGAAAAAATTAGATGACAGCACTATCTGGACTTTCCCACACCCATTTGCCAATTCCAGGGATAAACTGAGATTGTATATACCGGTATTTATTTATTAATTTGTATGCTACCTTAATCATAAAGGGAACTCTAGGTATGTATTATGTACTAGAATTAAAACATAAGAATAAAACTGGAAATTAATAGCAAATTGGGGAAGAACAAAACAAACTAAACAACCGTTAGACACAAATGAGATTTGGAGAAAGCCAACAGTGCTAGATAGAAAGAATAAGTAGTAATCCCATAAATATTTGGATCTTAAGCTGAGAAGGGTTTTTTAGAGGTGATGATCAATATATTGTATTCATTTATTAAATGTATATGCTGCCCATCTCACCTAGAGGTGATTCTAGGAGACTTACAACCAAGTAAAAGCAACAAGATAAAACATTAAAATATTGAAATAATAAATATTAAAAATTGATTTAAAATGAATAAAGATGGCAAGGAAGGGAGCAAGATACACATGGAGTAGAGGTGGAATCTTCTTGCATCCCAAGCCCCATTGGTAACCAGTGCAGCTCACAAAGTAGAGGTGTTACATAGGCAAAATAAGTACAAGATGGTTATGTGCAGAGACTCTCCTGGCCACAGGGAGTCGAGCATCAAGGAAAACCCCGAATTATGCACCAGTTCCACATGGGGCACTACAACTCCAGTTTTCAATTATTTTCTATCCCGGGTGTGTTAATCCCTGAACATTCATGTTTTCTCCCTTGCTGGTTGGCCTTGGATGTCTTTTTATGGCTACTGCTAAAACAATAAAATTGCCTTACATAAGTGTCTATGATTTCTAATGCTGAGTGCATTTCTTAGTGTATAATACAAAACAAAATTTAAACTGGACAAGATGTTTGCCTGAGGAATAGCAAAAATAGAGACCTTAATCTTACAGATTGTCTTATTATTGCATTATCCGTGTAGCAGTAAAACATGTTTTCAGCAATTTCCAATGATTACCCATAGGCTCCAGAGCAGGAGTGTCAAACTCAGTTTAATTGGCAGCGGCATCAGGGTTGTGTTTGACCGGGGGGGGGGGGGGGGGGTGGCTGTGGCCAGTTTGATGTCACTCTTGTCGGAGGCACCTGTGGTAGCCCAAGCACTCTGCCAGCGAAAACGAGCTCCTGAGCTCTGTTTTCAGCTGCGACAGCTTCCTGCAACCCTCTGCCAGGGAAACAGGCCCTCCCGAGCTCTGTTTTCACTGGCAGAAGCACTGCGGGCCGATCCTTCACTCTTTCCAGGTCAGCCCCATGGCCCAGAACTAAGTACTCTGTGGGCCAGATCCAGCCCCTGGGCCTTGAGTTAGACACCCCTACTCTAGAGCAGTGGTCCCCAACCTTTTTTGTACCAGGGACCAGTTTCACGCAGAAACACTTTTTCAAGGATGGGGGGGGCGGGGGGGAGACACTTTTTCAAGGGGGGGAAGGAGTCCGAGTTTGGTGGTTTGCTTGCAGACGTTTCATTACCTGACTAGATAACATCTGATGTTGTTACCTAGTCAGGTAATAAGATGTCTGCCAGCAAACCACCAAGTTCAGGGAGCACCAATGCCTCCTCATTGCAACCCTGAGCGACAGATATTCTCTTCTATTGGGACATTTAAAACGGAGGGTTTCAGCTGCAGATTCAGGAACTGCGCCGGGCTGAGGAGCGCCTTCAAAACTGAGCACTGGGCGGCGGCGGCCCGCGGCTGTCTCCATGGCTCAGGACAAGTCCCAGCAGGATGGCTGAGAAGCCCCGCCTCTCAGCCCTGCCTCCCTCAGCCTCATCCCTCAGGTGTCTCCCTTCCTCCCTCAGCCTTATCTCTCAGGTGTCTGCCTCATTCCTCTCTTAGTCGCTCTCTCGCTCCTCCACCAGCCCAGGAAGAAACTGCTTCAAAGAAGCCAGCAGGGTGGCTTTTCCTGTTGGCGCAGCTCCTCCGAAGCGCCCGTTCAACCCCACCCCGCCACCCGTGGTTCAATCCAGTGCTCCGTTCTGCCTGCCTGCCTGCCTTCGTTTCTGGTTGTTTCGGAGCAGCTTCGGCTGAGTAAAAGAGGTGAATAGTTATTATTCTCATCCGAAGCTGCTCCGAAACAACCAGAAACGAAGGCAGGCAGACAGAATGGAGCACTGGATTGAACCGCTGGCGGCAGGGTGGGAGTGAACGGGCGCTTCGGAGGAGCTGCGCCGACAGGAAAAGCCACCCTGCTGGCTTCTTTGAAGCAGTTTCTTCCTGGGCTGGTGGAGGAGCGAGAGAGTGACTGAGAGAGGAACGAGGCGGAAGGAAACTGAAGCCACTGAGCCGGAGAGCAGGACGGGCTTTGGTTGATCCCTGATCCCAGCAGCATTCACCGAAGGCGAAGAAAGCCGCCATTTTTATTTTATTTTTATTTTCTTTGCGGCCCGGTACCAAATGATCCACGGACCAGTACCGGTCCGCGGCCCGGTGGTTGGGGACCCCTGCTCTAGAGGGTTGTTTTTATTTCAAGGCTTGACATTATAAAAACTGGCGTACACAACAATGCAAACGAGTTATTGACAGTAGGACTTACTTTTCAGGAAATATGCTTATTACGCTTTCAATGCAGATGTATAAAATAGTTTATTGGCTGCTGTATAGCATAGGAATGATTTGGAGAAGTAGATTACATATTTAGTTATGTAAATATTTGGACAGAGAATGTAAGAACGTTTCAAGCAATTGCTAGAAACTGACGTGTTTTCCAGGGGGAAAAAAGTCCTATGCAAATAAGCATGATACAAATTAACATATTCATCCCAGTATTCTTAATCTACATAACTGTTTAGTCTCTATTACTTAATATGAAGAAAAATATAAATCTAACATATATTATGAGATCTGAATGCGACAATTAAAGAAAATAAAATCATTGATGTGTGGAGAAAAAAAATATTTTCACCAGGATGTTGGAAATATTGAGCAGCAGGCAATATAATTACAATGCACTTATAATGTACACTTCTTTTTACAGCAACCACCTGGAAGATAAATATACAACTTGGAAACTTCCAAACTTTACTGAACTAGAAATTTTTATGGTTTACATATCTGGCTAGAAAATGAATTAGCAATTCAAAAATGCATATAACTTGAAAACTTTGCTGTAAGTTCTAACGCATTGGTCTGCAACCGATCAGGGTTGGTGGACCAGTGGGGGAGACGGGATGCTTCACTGCAAGTGGCAGGCACACATGCTTGAGTGCACAGCTCCATTTGTGCAATGGGTGGGCGCACATACTCGACCCTCATGCAAATGGAGTTTTACACATGAATGTGAGCGCTGCCATTCGCACAAGTGGAACTATGTGCACACTTACCCACTGCTTGCATGACCCAGTTTCAAACAGGTTACAGCCCAGTCAGTAGTGGGCTGCAGCCCAGGGGTTGCTAAAACCTTTGTTTTAGCATCTACTTGGAGTTAAAATATGAACATTTTTTTTAAAAAAGCTGTTACTAAACAGTTGTGAGGTTATTACATTCCAAGGATTCAGCAGTATGATTCGTATGTTTCATATATTTTATTTATCTGTTTCATATATGTTTTGCTGTTAGAATAAAGTGTATGTATATGTGGATAAATATTGAATGTTCTCTTCTCCATCCAAATTGCTTCAATATTATTTTTTCCCCTAGATATTCGTATTAGCAGTGATTATAATTAAAGAAGTAGCTTTATTTCTTTAGCAGAGTCATACAGTAAATAAATGTTATTGCCTGTTTTTAAGAACGTTTTCTCAAGTTTGAGCAAATCAAATTAAGCTTTCTCATTATTGGAGCTACCATGGAAAAGCATGTTTACAGGTAAAATTGTAGCATTTCCTTTGCCAGGTTTTTAATTGTAAATAATTTTGTACATGTTTTGTTACTAATTTTATTTTTAAATTCTCATATTACTAAGAAATATAGCCTTTACCCAAGCAGCATGACTATAGAGCAATTGGTTTCTTTAATAATATATTTGATATTATGTAGCCATATCTTCCTTCTTGTGTTATATTAAAAGTTAATGCAGGAATTAGAATTCAAAACTAATGTTTGACTTCCTACATTTTTTGTTTCAAGATAAATTTTAGGATGAGAGCTGTTTCTCGAAGTACTGTGATAGAGGACCCATAATATATATTTATACATATATATTTATCTTTTTGTTTATTATTGCAGAAAGCATTGACGGGTCTAGATGATCTGCGGCAAGTGAAGGCCCTTGAGATGCGTGTAAACACCAGAGAGAATAGTCTGGGAAATTTTGGTGAGAGAAAATTTTATTCTGTCTCAGATTATTCAGAAGCATATTAGGTGTGTTTGTCACCTTGAGTTATTACAATTATAATAATAACAAAGATAGGTTATGAATAAATTAAAAAACTAACATGTGAGAATCATAAATGAATCAATAGTTGCATTTAATGTTGCCTTTGGAAAATTCACTAAATTGATTTTATGTCTGAAGCTGTTGTGTTATCTGGGTTAAAAAAAAGCATAATGATAGAAAGTGAACTTGATAATTTATAGAAATGAAAAAAAGCAACACATCTATCAAGTAGGGAAAAATATTTGAAATTTGTTTTGTAAATTCATTGTTTTTTAAGAACAGGCCCAATGGAACATTTTTCTCTAGTACTGGTTGTCTCCTAGAAAGGGCTTATATAATCCTTTCATAAGTGCAAATACAATGACAATAATAAGAAAATGCTTGTAGAAAAGCACGATCCACTGCAGTTCTGCAGTTTGCAGATGATACAACAGTCATTGTCTCATTCAAGACAATGATGAGTCTGCATATAGAAACCCTGTGGTGCACCCAGAACAATCTGGAGCTGAACATGCTTAAAACTGTAGAGATGAGAATGGATTTTAGGAGGAGCTCTTCTATTTTACCACTTCCTGCTATATTCAACAGCACATTATCAACAGTAGAGTCCTTCAAGTTTCTGGATTCTATATTCTCCCAGGATTTGAAATGAACACCTAACATTAGAACTATCATTAAAAAGGCACAACAAAGAATGTTTTTCCTCCATCAACTTAGAAAGCTCAGACTGCCCCAGAAGCTGTTGATACAGTTCTGTAGAGGAATTGTTGTAGTTTGTATTTCTGTAACTGCCTGGTTTGATACAGCAACCAAACAGGACAGGTACAGACTTCAACAGATAGTTAGGACTGCAGAAAAAAATAATTGCAACCAGCCTGACTTCCATTGAGTGGTTCAGAAGGCAGGCTGAGAAAATATCTACAGACCCTCACTTCCTGGACATAAACTGTTTCAACTCCTCCCATTGGGATGCCCCTAATGGCACTGCATGCCAAAACAACAAAACACAGAGACAGTTTTTTTGCCTCATGCCATCACTCTACTAATTCCACAGTACTGTCTTATGTATATTTTACTCATGTAGTATGGCTGTATTACTATTAACCTTTTCATCTTTTCTTCTACCTTCTGTTATTGATATTATTATGATTATGATTATTATTCTGTTGTTTTGCATGTACACTGACAGCTGGAGACAAATTCCTTGTGTGTCTAATTGCATTTGGCGAAATAAAGTATTCTATAAGGACCATTGTGCTGTCAGTATAAACATAGCTAATGAACAAGTTTCTTTGGGTAGCGATCTACAAATTATGCTTCATGCTTACTTTCTTGTCTGAAAATAATATAGCCCATATCAAAGTATGTTATAGAAAAAAACCAGAAAGATATGAGTGGCAAGTGGCACATAAGGGGGTTGCAGTTTTCTTGAGAGAATACAACTTGAGGCACACAGAGATGACACTGAGGGAGAAATGGAAAGGAAAAGAAAGGAGGGAGTTGACTGTGTGAATTAGAAGAGCAAAATTAGAAGGATGATGACATTTCTGAAAAATCTATATTTTTAATTAAATGTTTACAGTCAGTTACTACATCTTTTCTGGAAATTCTGGAATATTCTATGGTAAAATGTTTAAAGATTCAGAGACTTTAAGCCAATGAATTAACTTAGTTGTGTACATCACACTTTGTGGAAAAAAGTACTTTTGTATTGGAAAACTTTGATCATGGGAGAGAGCATTTCTCAAATCCCAGGGAAAAAAATATTTTTTTAAAAAAAGTTAACTTTTTAACTTGTATTTCAACAACAATAATGCAGGATTAATATAATTCCCAGTTGCTACTTTTAGTGGATTTGGCATGGAATTACCATTAAAAGGAGGGTTATTAAACAATTGCAATGTTTAGAGAATACTAATGAAACTACTACTTATTATAAGCAGTAACCCTCAGATGTCTGTTCTCAACATGAGACTCAAAGAATGTGCTGGGACAATTAATTACAAGTCAGCATGGCAGTTAGCCAAGTTGCATGTTTAAGAACTATTATGTCCACCTTCCTTTTCTTTAAACAAACTAGCACAATAGCATTTATACCTACAGGTAGTCTTTGCTTAATGACTGGTCAGTTAACAACCATTACAATGGAGTTTTAAGCTATATTGAGCCATAGTGGTGTAGTGCTTGGAATGCATTACTGCAGGCTAACTCACTTCTCACTCCAGGAGTTCAACCCTGACCAGTTCAAGGTTGACTCAAGTCTTCCATCTTTCCAAGGTCAGTAAAATGAGGACCCAGTTTGTTGGGGGCAATATGCTGACTTTCTAAACCGCTTAGAGTGAGCTATAAAGTACTGTGAAGCGGTATATAAGCCTAAGTGCTATTGCTAAAAAAACTACTTTTGACCCCCGTCTTTGGAGTTATGACTGCCACAAACACCTCCCATGGTCATATGATCCATTTTGGGCAGTTGGTGGCTGACTCACATTTATGATCAGTTATGACCAGTATCCCCATATAAATACAATTTGTAACTTTTTTGTCATTTTCCAGCAGAATACAGCAAAAAAAACCCACTCATCTGATATGCTGGATTTGCCTAAAAACCACTTGGTTCACTTAGTGACCATTAAGTGTTGTTATCAGATGTCAATTGTTTAACAACCATGGTGATGTGCTTTACAACCATCCTAAAAAGAGTTGCAGAACAAGTTCAGTAATGGCAAAATGTTATATTTTATGTCAGTTACTATTGGCCTAAAATATAGTCAGACATAGAATGGATCATTTCTAGGCAACTTTGGTAAGAAATGTTTTTGTGAAAATATTAGACATCAGAAATCAGTCAAATGTCATGGTAAACAAATGTACAAACTGTGAAATTAAAATATTTGAAATTCGATGTTTGAGAGGAGTACAACACATATATATTTGCTTATATTTGTCTTTGTTTCCTGATCTTACAGGTTCTTACCTCCCTAATCTGAAACAACTAAAACTGAATGGAAGTATACTTACTTCTGTGAGGTAAGAAATAACAACTCAGGAAGTTAAGTCAGAAATAATATTCAAGTCTCTTACTACTTACAGCATTTCTTTCTATTTCAGAGAGATTGACTACACATTTTATCTTTTGTACATAAGAAAAACTTGATTAAGTCTGTTCTTGAACTATGCAAATGTATTATATTATGTACCTGGTTATATCCAGTCTATAAAATCATACATTATTATGCATAATTCTTGGACATTATAAATCAAATCACTCCTTCTATAGATTTAAAAGATATTAAGTCCTTTATTTTATTTTTTCCTGCAGATAATCTTGCAGTATGTTAAAACTTACATATACCTCTAGTGAAGTAAAATCCAGTCAATTCATTATTCCTAGGAAAGGTTAGATTTCTATACCTAGCTGGAGAAAGAATCCACTATAGTCATAATAAACTGTAGTTTATAAAGTAATATTCTTAATTTTCTTTCATTTGCAAAATTAGGTGTGCTTCAGAATTTGTAATGTTTATCCAATATTGCATAGACAGAAAGCAGCACAATCTGGAGAAATGGATTAATGGGATGAGATTGATAGTGAGGGAAGAGATTAAGGCCTTATCTACATTTGACCCATGCCCAAATAGGCTCAATATTTTGATCTCATATTGTCTCTGTTTAGTTACTTCTGAGCCAAGTTATTTCTGGTGAAGCTAATATTTAATGAGAAATGTATCACAAGTTTCTAGTAGAAGTGCTACAGCGTTGTGAAGCTTGCAAGGACATTATTTCCATTAATTCCTCAGTCTGTCTTTGGGATTTCTTTCCCTGCAGAGTTTAAGATTTATGTAACAATTTTTTCTTTGTTTTAATAAACTGAGCAGAGATGCGGCTCCTTGCTGATTTTACAGAAGTCTGTCCCATTATCAGTGCAGCCTCCTGTTGGTCATCTAAAGCAGGGGTCTTCAAACTTGATAGCTTTAAGACTTTTGGACTTCAATTCCCAGAATTCCTCCTCCAGTCATGTTAGCTCAGGAATTCTGGGAGTTGAAGTCCGCAAGTTTTAAACTTGCCAAATTTAAAGACCCTTGAGTTAAAGGATGCACTCCTTGCCTCTTGTGGCATTCTCTGCTTTAAGACATTAGTGATAGGATAACCACAGATGAGCCCAAAATTTGGATGTAGAAATATTGGGTTGCTTATACATTTGTAGATGACACAAAATTGAGTGGAATTGTTCATTTTCTAGAGCAATAGAAATAAAATTCAAAATGCTCTTGATAGGTTAGAGAAATGGATTCCAAAATAAAATGAAATTTAACAAAGGCAACGAATTATTCATTTAGAAATCAGATGTCAAATGCATAGAAATAGAATTAAGAACATTAGCTTTGTAGCAGTACTTGTGAAAAATATCTTGGAATAGTACGGGTAGTTGATTTCAAAATGAAAGCAATATTCAGCAATATTATGTGCTGCAAAAGTGCAAAATATAGTTTTAGACTATATTAACAGAAATTTAGCTTCTAAACCAAAGATAGTTAGGTTCTAAATTGAATACTGGGTCCAGTTCTGGATATCACATTTTAACAAAGATTCAGGCAAACTAATATAGGCTTGGAGAATGATAGTGTAAATGATTGGGGATATTACATACTATAAAGGGGAACTGGGGAAATTAGGAATATATAACTCTGAGTATAATAAAACCAAGAATGGATATGATAGTATTCCCCTTCAAATAAAAGATGTTATACAGAGAGAGGTCAGAACCCATTCTGTTTTTCCAGAGTTCAGCAATTGTTAAATGTTGGGATTCCAAATAAATGTTAGAAAGAGTTTTATGTTTTATAAAACACCCATGCTTTAGTTATGAATTCAGTAAAAGATTCCATTGTTTTGATACTGGTATGTAGTAGAAATGATGTATTGTCATTGCAACCAATTTCCTAAGGTAATCAACTTCTGTGTTCCAGATTTAGTACTCTGTGAATAGACATAAAAGTAAAGTCTGCCTAAAGTTGGGCTTGACTTCTGATGGCTAAGGGTGTATGTCTGTGTTATTTTCTTGGCAACAATATTGACATGGTTTTACAGTGCCTTCTTCTGAAAGTTCTTTCTGCTTCCCTGTGTAGACTACTACTCTGTAAACTAGTTTAAAAATACTTTCAGGCTACAAAAATAACTACGCAGGAAAGTATAATCCTAACTGTCCTGCACAGCTCTGCACTGTGCTTACTTACTTGGAGGTGAAATTCATTGAGATTTTTGCAAGTTTACATCTGCCTTTCATTGCTAGAGAAGTTGCTCATCTTAACTCATTTCTTGCTACGGGATTTTTTTTGTATTGGTGCTGGATGTTAACAATAATTCTAATTATATTGATACTTCCTAAAAGGCTAATGGTATTTTAAAAACTTTGGGAGTTTTTAATTCAGTACAAAATTTGATACAATATGCGTACACAAAGTATCATGTCAAATTTTAAAAATTTGATTGGAAAAAAATTTAAGGATTTGATACCGATTCCCAAGAAGATCAAGACCAAGCAAAATATTTAATACCACAGTTTACTAATTGTTTAAATATAGTTAATTTGTACAGCTACTCCCATTATAAATTATACATATCAAGCTGAGCCCTCCCATACTGTTAGACCATCTTGAGTTCTGCTCTTCTCAAGTTTCCAAAGTAATCTATACTTGCCTCAAATGGCTTGATCTGGAAAATAACTGAACTTGATGAGAATGACTTTTGCTTTACGATGTGCTAATCTTGGGGTCAACATGCCAGGGGAGGAAGTTCTCCTCCAAGAAACTCTTCCCGTCTATGAAGGAGTCAAAGTTCCAAATATGGAATTTCAATAGTTTTCTGCAATTTTCTAATTTGTCAAAGCAATTTCCTGTTGTCTAGATTTAAATCTGTGCTGCCACTTTTTTCTTTCCATGAATGGGAAGCTTGTGTTTTGACATGTCATCTGGATTTTTGTTAGGTTTGTCCTAATCAAATAAGAAATTTGCCTCTAATGAGATTATTTCCCATTTTTTTCAAACAAGGATTTTACTGAATAATTATTGTTCTTTTCAACATGTCATTTCATACCCTTATATTGGTTTTCTCTTTTATTTCAAATCATTTCACCAATTCTGAGAAAGGATATGTGATACATTACAAATTGGATAGATTTTGTAATGTATGCATACTAGGACAGTCTGCCCTGGCAAGCTTTCAATAATTCAGCCACAGTTGTTTTCAGAATGTAGTTCTAAATATAAGAAATATAAATATAAGAAAGTCTCACTGGTAATTCTGAGTCAAAATTCACTTCACTTGTAACATCTGTGATTGCAGTTTTTGTTGTTAATGGAAGCAATAAATATTAAGCATATAGAATATTAACTAATATTAAGTTTATATTTGAAAACACAGAATCATGACCAACAATCTTTTAACTGTGTTTTCATTTAAGTTTAATTTAATTTGAATTGCAAAAACCCCAACTGATGAGGGGATGATGTAACTAAAATAGAATTGTGCAACAGGAACTAGTAATGTATTATAACAATACGTATTATTATAGTATTCATTATACAGGTGAACCTCAACTTAAGATAACAATTGGGACTGAAATTTCCATCACTAAGCTATGTGGTCACATGACCACATCGCTTGGTGACCACAATCCTAGCCTTGCCATCTTTATGAATGCAGTTAGTTGTTAACCAAGGGCCCACCTCAATCCAAGCCATTCCAAGCTTGGTCTTTCTCAGCCCTGTGCTTCAATAAGGTAAGTGATTGCCTCCAACTCCCACCCCTATCTATCTAAGGCCCAAATTCTGATCACGTGAGTGCAGGGGTACGTTTGCAGGCACAGGTTGTAGTCCATTCATTTAGCCCCATCATAACTTTGCATGGTTGCTGTATGAGTGGTCAGAAGTTGAAGACTACTTACAATGAATTTTTTTAAGATGAAAATTGGAATCCATGAACAGCTTAAACTTCTTTACCCCAAATTGATTGTTGAAGGGCTAATGCCTCTTTTATCTTGTAATATTGAAATGTTCATTTGTTCCTTATTTCTTACATTTTACATAAATTGTCTGTTTGCCAGTGCCCTTTTATTTCTACATGGATATATATGTACAGTTGCATAATTGTCGTGATTAGTCAGTGTCAATGTTTAAGGTCAGCTGAAACCACTGCCAATGCATAGTTCAAACTAAGTAAAACTTTCCCGATAGGGACACTCCAGATGTTATATTTCCCAAACTAGGTAGCATCATCAACAACTAAGCTCAGAAAACACCAAAGACTCCTCATTTCAACCCTGAGATACAAATATTCTCCTTTATTAAAGCACTCCATTTTTTTAACCCTTTCTTTTTAGATCTCCCGATCAATTTTTTTTTAAAGTATTCCAAGTTTTGTCCCAGCTGATAAAAACTGAAATGAGTTTTCTGTTTCTTTTTCTGATGTTAAACAACATATTTTCATTAACTTCTAAAGATGAAGCTAATCCTTTGATAGGTAATGGTGAATCCTGGCATTTGTTCTCTTAAGGGACCTTGGAACAGCTCTACCTCGTCTTCAAGTCCTATGGATGGCTCGCTGTGGGCTCTCCGATTTAGATGGGATCTCTTGCTGCTGCTCTTTGAAGGTAGGAGAGTCAAAGACTTAATACATTGTTTTGCTTGACTTGTTTACATAGTGCACAGCCCTGACTACTTTGAAGGAAATTGGATATCAAATCCATGTTAATTTACAATACTCCCCAGTTTAAGACCAAGTTCCATTCCCAAGGCCCATCCTTAACTGGAATTTGTGTGTTAAGCCAAAACACAATAATTGGATAATGCGGCATAAGTAGTATTGTGTAATAAACTCAAACCTTTGTGTGTTTAAATTGAATTTTGCTACAATAGGCTCTGTTCTTTACTATGGGTCATCCTTATACGAGGGTATTCTTAACCGAGGGATTTGGTATACTTTTTTTAAACATTATTACCTTTTTTTAAACGTATACATGTAAGTAAAATCTGATTCATAAAATACTGCCTTGTCCAATAGCATTTCATTTTTTTAAAAAGTATTATAAATGTCAGCTGGGAAGATGAAATAATGTCTCCAATGAAGACAATGGCAAACACTTCCTTATTGCTGCTAAGAAAACTACATGAATATATATGTAAAACCATAAGGAAAATAACATGGCCTGAAGATTTACCATAATTATCATTAAGGAGCCCTGGTGGCACAGTGGTTAGAATGAAGTATTGCAGGCAAACTCTGCCCGTAGCCTGGAGTTCAATCTTGATGGGGTGCAAGGTTGACTCAGCCTTCCATCCTTATGAAATCTATAAAATGAGGACCCAGATTGTTCGGGCAATGTGCTGACATTGTAAACTGATGAGGATGATGAGGATGATGATGATGATATCCATTAAGTCGAGTCATACTCTTGGCAATTCTATGAGCCCTAATAGAACCTAGAATTTGTTAATTCAGTAGCCAAGTCAAATAAACTGAAAGTGTAAAAAAAACCCTGTGGTTTATTCTATGAATCAAAAATTGCTTCAACTTGATCTCTCTTTCTAAAAGATGTATTTTAAAAACAGGCAACTTTACTCATGGTTTCTGGTTTATTATTAGACTGGATTATTATTATTATTATTATTATTATTATTATTATTATTATTATTAT